GATGTGACTGTAAAATGGAAAAACCACTTTGAAAAACAGCTAGGCAGTTACTAAAATGATCAAGAGTGGTGTGGTTTAGGTATAGTAGCTAGGATATCACTTGAGAGTTTGTAGTACTAGGATCTGAATTCTAGCTCCAACTCTTTTGTTTGTTTGTTTTTGTTTTTGTTTTTTTGAGCTTATACAGAGAGGGAGGGAGAGACACAGAAAGAGAGATCTTCCATCTGCTAGTTCACTCCCCCAAGTGGTCACAACAGCTAGAGCTGGGTCAATCCAAAGCTAGGAGCCAGAAGCTTCTTCTGGATCTCCCACGTGGGGGCAGGGGCCCAAAGACTTGGACCAATACCCACTGCTTGCCTAGGTGCATTATCAGGGAGCTTAATGGGAAGTGGAGCAGCCCATGGGATGTCAATGTCACAGGAGGGAGCTTTGCCAGCTATACCACAACACTGGCCCCCTGGCTCCAATTCTAACTTCACTTTCTGATTAATGCACACCCTGGTACGCAGTAGGTGATGGCTCAAGTTCAAGGGTTCCTGCAACCAGGTATCCAGATTAGGTTCTAGGCTCCTGGCTTCAGCCTGGCCCAGCATCAGCTGTTGCAGGTATTTGAGAAGTGAAACAATAGAAGGATGGTATCTTTCTCTCTTCCAAATAAATGTATTTAAAAAAATTTAAATAGACACCTACCATTATGACCTCGAAATTCCACTTGTAGGTATTTATGTAACAGAAATAAAAATTATGTCCACACATAGCCTTGCCTGTGAATTTTTGCTGCCCAAACTGGAAATAACTAGTGAATGGATAAACAAAAGTTAGTATATCCATTCAATGGAACACTACTGAAGACTAAAAAAATATAGTGATTTGTCAACAATATGGGTGAACCTCAAAAACTACGGTAAGTAAAAGAAGCCAGGAATATAAGTCAACACATTATATGATCCCATTTATATGAAATTTCTAGAAGAGGAAAAAACAGAAAAAAGATCTGTGGTTGGTTGGAGCTAGAGATTGGAGAAGTGACTATAAAATGAGTATGAGAGAACTTTTTCCAGTGATGGAAATGTAAAAATATCAGATTGTTAAGATCATCAATATCTGGGGCTGATGCTGTGGCATAGTAGGCTAAGCTTCCACTTCCGGTGCCAGTATTCCATATGGGTTCACGTCCTGGCTGCTCTTCTTCTGATCCAGCTCTCTGCTACGGCCCAGGAAAGTAGCAGAAGTTGGCCCAAGGGGTTGGGCTCCTGCACCCGCCTGAGAGACCCAGATGAAGCTCCTGGCTGCTTGCTTCGGATCAGCTCAGCTCCAGCCATTGTGGCCTTTTGGAGAGTGAACCAGCGAATGGAATTCTTTCTCATTGTCTCTCTCTCTCTGTAACTCTACCTCTCAAATAAATAAAAAAAAAAAAAGAAAGAAAGAAAAAATCATGAACATCCAAATTTTAAAGAAAACTTTGTTAAAGTCCTATGGAATTAGGTGATTATATTCTATGTGACTTTCTGGGGTTCTGGTTTCATCCATACTAACATTTAAATATGGAAATATATAACTCCACATGTCCAGTACTTTTTTAAATAATTAATCTGCAAGGCAGAGAGACACAGAGAAAGATCTTCAATATGTTGTCTCGTTCCTCAAATGCCTATAACAGTAAGGCCTGTGCCAGGCTGAAGCCAGGAGCCCAAAATCTATCTAGGTCTTCCACATGAGTGCCAAGAACCCAGGTATTTGCGCCATCATCCACTGCCTCCCAGGGTATGAACCAGCAGAAAGCTGGAACACAAACATAGCCTCTGGGACTGAAGCAAGGACTCTGATTTAAGATATGTGTGCCCCAAGTAGCAACCCAACCACTGTGCCAGAGGCCAGACACCACAAAGGTCTTTCAAACCAGTAAATTCATGTGGGTCTCAATCTAAATATTTAAGCAAACATGAGAAGGAAGAGAGAGAATAAGGCAACATTAATAACAAACAGGTTAACTTAATGAAAAAGAAAAGAAAATTTGAATGGTATCAATATAGGCAGAAATTGGGAGACAAAATTTCTAACATACAACTGACAGCCACTGATGAGACTGTAGCTACCAATCTAACACTGCAATTAAGAGTCATGTTTCTAAACCAAATGGCAACTGTCAGGGCTGGGCCAGGCCAAAGCCACAAGCCAGGAACTCCATCCAGGTCTCCCAAATGCGCAGCAGGGACCCAAGCACTTGAGCCATCCTTCACTGCCTTCCCAGGTGCATTAGCAAGAAGCTGGATCAGAAGCAGATATGGGATGCCAGCACCACAAGCAGCAGTTTAACCAACTGTGCCCCAACACCAGCCCCTGAAGGCAGAATATTTACAAATATTTAAGGATTTATTCACATATTACTTGTCTAACTAAAATATATATATATATTTTTAGTAAAAAGAAACAGTTAAAATATTTACTTGGGACACGTACATCAGGGTATCTGTGTTTGATTCCCAGCTCTGGCTCCTAATTCTTCCAGTCAATGCAGAACCTGGAAGGCAGCAGTGCTAGCTTAAGTAATTGGGTTCCTGCCACCTATGTGGGAGGCCTGGATTGTTTTCCTGGCTCCTGGCTCCAGGCTCCAGCCCTAAGCACTGTATTTGGGGAGCGAAGTAGCAGATGGAATATCTCACTCTCTCTTCCCCCCACCTCTAATAATTAAAAATTCTTAGAAAAGAAAAAATAATGGAAATGAAGTTCCCATATACATTAGGCAAGTGTGCAAAGATTTCTTGTTGTCTTTGAAAGAAAATTTTAAATCTAATTATTGTATAATCCAGTTATGGGTATGCAATCCAACTGTGTATATAATCCATTTATGATTTTATAAAAACAAACAATATTTTCATTTAGAGATTCTGGGAATAAGGAAGCATCATGACATTAATAACTAAATATTATAGGCAGTTATTCTTCCATATACCAAAATCACTTTTTTGGAGGTTCAAAGCATTCAGTTATTCCAATACCCGCTCAACATCATCTCTGTCATTTATCTACCTCAATATCCCTCTTGTATATTTACTGAGGACTGAGACACTGAGCAGTCTCCCTTTCAAATAATTTTCTTGCCACTATGCCAGAATTCCTAAGATCACCTTACCCTCGAAGTTCACTTTGCCAATACCGACCCCTTGTAGCTACCTAGTCAAGCTCTGCAAACTCATTTACCTTCAGCAGTGAAGTGGGTAATAATATGAGTAAAGCTGAATGTACATTGGGGTTACCAGCATTCAATGCAAAATTATGAAAAATATACTTTACACGTTAAACAAAGCGCTCCTGTAAATTAAATTTAACTGGTAGTTCACTGTTCATTACTTTGCTATCTCTTCCAAATGCAATGATTCTCAAGTCTAAAAATTTTTGATAAAAGATTCTTTAAAGTTATTTGAAATTTCAAAGTACATCAAATATTGAAACTAAAAATAAACCACAGTAATTATATTACTGAAAATGTTTTTCAAAACCAGCACAATCCACTATCCATCTCTACACCAGGTGAAAATATTGCCTTTAGACATTATCATCACCTGGAATGACACCATCTCTAAAATTTAAAAACCCGTATCTTATAAATACAAATTGTCTCACTCTCTTATTGCCAACTCATTGGCTATTCAACTTCCCAGAAGCCTTATTTCTTTTTACTCATTTTGTTAGCCTCCTTTTCTTCTGCAGTTCTACTTAGCAATTCCTGGAAATTATTTTGGTCAGGATCCACTGCCAACTGTTCTCACTCTTCTGCAAATATTCCAAACAATTTGCAAGTTCCAAATAAAATAAAACCACATGCTATACTTTCTGCCTAAAATACTTTACCTTTTAATTCTTACTCATACTAAACCATAGCTCCTTTAATACACCAAAGGGCTATTCCTAAGGGAAGGAAGCAGTGAGAAGGATGGTTCTCACCTTTAAAGTTTAATGCATATATTATACAATAATCCTTAACTTAAAGTAGCTTGTCAGTGTCCTGCCTGGACTTCCAGTCACATTTCCTACAGCAGATATTAAACTTGATACTATTTCAGATATACTTAATCAGCATTCACATATATATGTTTATATATATACATGTATGTGTGTGTATGGGCTGGTATCTGCTTGACTTCCAGTGAGGGTCTTATGGCAGGAAAGAGCATGTGTAAGAAAGAGACCAAGGGCTTTATTTATAAGCCAGTTCTCAAAGGAACTAATCGAAAGAGTTAATCCTGTCTGCAAAGAACTACTCCATCTCTCAAAAAAGGCATCAATCCAGTGGTGCCCCCATGACCTAATCACCTCTTAGTACCAATCACACAAAGACCCCACCTCCCAGCACCAATCACACTGGAAATCAATTTTCAACATGAGTTTTGGTGGGGGCTAGCCAAATCCAAACCACAGCAATGTTTTTTGCTGAAAATTAGATTTTCAAGTCTAGCCAAAAACCATACCTCTGTAACAAGCCCATGTATATGATCTTGCTCAGTCTGTAAAAGATGGGGTACTTTCTTGATCAATTACTCCTCAGTTGTTCTTATCATTTTCAACTGAGGAAATGGTAAGAGATAGTAAACAGAAAGAAATAATGACTTGAATATTTGTGGGGGAGTTCGCAGGAGACATAACAAGTCATAGTTACAAGGTAGTCCTGATTTCTTTATAAGAAAGCAACTTCTACACTTGGAAATTCTCTTGTATTAATAAACTCTGCCTCTAAAGAGTAAATAGTACCCCCAACAGCAGGAGTATGGGTAAACTTCATTCACAATTTGATGGATTTTTCTGAATTATGTAGCATTTGGTAAACATTTCTGAAAAATTCAGAAGTCATTGTATAAGCAAAGGAGATGGAAATTTTCAATTCAAGTCACCACAGCATCATGTCTTAAAAGTGACTGGAAAAAAAGATTTAAAAAATTGACACAATTGACATAGACCTTACTACATCACTTATCTATTTATCAAAATTTTAATTTTCTAACCTGGAATGCCGGAGGCTATCCTTTTTGTTTTTTGCAGAACACAATGTACATTCACAGCCAACTGCATGGGGCTTTGGTAGAGATACATCCTGTTTTAAGAGCATTGTAAGAATTTCATAGTTGTTACGATGAGCAGCTAAAATAACAGGTGCAACATCCATAGTTGTTGAATACTCAGGATTCTGAATCCGTTCCATGAGTTTCTGAAAAATATTTATATAAATTTCCAAACATAATTTGTGACTTCAAGAAATATATTTATTGGTGAATGAAATGAAAAAAACTAGGAAAGCACAAAGAACTTAAGAAGTATTTGAAGAAATATGATAATTTACTTCAACTAAATTTTTTGAGACCTTAAAGCTTAACTCTGATTAATAAATTACAATATAATCATAACACAAAATTTTCAATAGTTAATATTTATTTAACTAGAGTTCTGTTTTTCCTAACAAAGGAGAAGTGAGACTACCAAGAGAAATACCTTAGAAAAAAATGTCTAATTTACACAAGATTATAGAAACATGTACGACAGTATAAAGAACAAGGTTTTCAGAAAAAGAATGTAATGGAAAAACATAAATATTAAAAGCAAGCAGAGTATAACTGTACGAGAAAAACTTTTAAAATCCACCTCTATGGCAAACTTTGTCACATGAATAGCAATGAAGCTAACTGAAAGGGGTAAGTAAGTAGGAAGCACTCTTCATTTTATGAGGGTGCTTCAAAAAGTTCCTGGAAAACAGAATTAAAGTATAAGTTTATTTTGGTGCAAAAAATATCAAATTCATACATTAGCTTTTTTCATAAGCATTTTCCACAAACTTTCTGAAGACCCTCATATAATTATCTACACATGCCCAATCCTCCCCTGTAACACTTTCTATTATAAATGCATAAAAACACTAACAAATATAGCTACTATTTAATGAGTCTTGAAACTGTTAAGCACTTTACATTTATCACCTCATTTAGTTCCCACCTGCAAAACAGAGCATTATAATCCGCATGAAGAAACTGAGGCTCAGAGAAGTTAATGTGCCCAAGCCACATAACAGAGTGGCAGGGTACTGATTAAATCCAGGCTGTACTACTTGGGAGCCTGAGCTCCTCTCACTACAGGGGCCCAGGGCCTGGCAATGGCATGAAATGAGGAAGAAAACAGTAGTAATTAAGGAATCAGGATTAAATTTAAAAGCTGACTATTTTATGACTACTGCATATTCTTTCCAATTCTTCTCACTTTTTTTCTCAGAGGTTTCCCTGAGAACTGTTTGACTCCACAGTGTAAGCTCATCAAGTTCTCATTTTTGGTTAATTTTTTATTAACATTGTAAAAGCAGTGTACACTTATTACAAAATATCTGAAAGATATAGAAAAGCAGAAAGAATAAAAATACTAATATTCCTTTCGCAGAACATTTTACAGTACAGTTTTTCCTTCTAGTCTTTTCTCTACCACACACCCTTTTAAGAAAATCTTTTGCATAAATAGTAGATATGCTAAGCACCAAAGATAAAAACAATGGTTCTTAGTATTTTGAAGATCAAAGACCCTTTTTATAATTTTATAAAGGCACAGCCTAAGATCTTCAGGGGAAAAAAATTCATGCACAGAATTTTGCATACAATCTAAATAATTTCATAGAGTCTGTGTTCAGGATATCTTATTCTACTAACTGGAGTAACACTACTACAAACATACTAAAAAAAAAAAAAACAGCTTTTCACAAATTTTAATTATTTCATTAACACAGACCTTCCCCTGCCACTGAAGTAGAATTATAGGCAATGAACAGTTTTGAAGCTCTTGATACAGAATGTCAAAGCACTTTTAACAGTTTATATTATCAATAATTTAAGAATACACTCATTTTATACTAAAGCTTTACTCACCAGCACTGGGCACTCCTAGTTTATGAGAAATATTACCATGAAATTTTAATTTATTGTGCTCTATTGGTAAATTTTATTATTTTCTGATATAACTTTTCCCCTCCTTTTTATGAAGTTTCTTTATATACTTTATATATTTTCCATTTATTGCAGGCTTCAAATTAATTAATTTATTTAAAAATTTAGCCCCTTTCCCTCTTATTATTGTATTACTAGTTATAAAGAAAACTATAGATAGTTCTTTGGGAGAAAAATGGCTCTGTTTCATTAACTGCATGAAAAACAATATTAAACATGCATAAGATTAAAATTCACAATTTCATTGTTTATAATATAATCTGTTAACTAGCAAATAAAAAACCTGTACTTGAAAGTCAATTATCAAAAAGGCAATTTTGATATGGCAAAAGTATAGAATGAATTCATTGAAAGTGTAAAATATACAACAATGTTTAATAATGCCTGTTTAAAGATTGCTTCTTGGCCTTTTAGCTAAGATCAAGTGTAATAATGCCTGTTTAGAAATAACAGGACCATTAAAATGTGATCTTGCTGTCATTAGAAGTATTGAAATAAAGGCTGAATAATCTTTGTTTGTTAGAAATAGAGTAGAAAGCGTTTTTTTACTGAACAGGTGAGAATGGCCAAGGCCTTCCAACTGTTAACATTTAACTGGTACTAGTAATGGTGATGAATAAGAGTTAGTGATTCCAAAAGCCAACACACTGTATTTCAACCTCCCCTACGAAGATGAAATGGGCTAAAAGAAAGTAGAAGAAGTATACCAAAACAGAATAGTAACTGCACAATAAATGGTGGAAAATTAAATAAGACACTAGATATATCTGATCTATTAAATAGAACCACATTCTTGGTCCTTTTTTCTTTATTCCTATTTTTTTTTCTACCACCACTTAAACAAATCTTCTGGACAAGGTCATGCTTTTGTAATAGTCTAAATGAAAGTAAACTTTTTCATTTAATGTACGGCAATTTAACAGAACCTCTCTTAGTTCTCAGATCCCATCAGGCAGCCTGCCACTAATTTATAATTCTTGCTAAAAGTATTATTTTTTTTGAGTATAATAAGCTTATACTCAGAGTTAAATCACTGGTTTCACTACACCTTTGATAACAACTATTTCTAATTAGTATTTAATTATTAGTGACTATCTTCCTAACTACAAAAGTAATAAAGAAAAATAAAAAATAAGAATGAAAACACTCTTAATTTGGTCAATCGGTATGAGATGACCATTGTTAGGGAACATTTTGCCATTTTTCCATACAACAGTTTTTCTATGCATATTTTTAACCTTGGATCCAATCATATGTACAATTTACTAACCCTGTTTTTCAGTATATTTTTCCATAAATATTCTTTAAAAAATCATTTTAATAACTGCATAACATCCCATTGTGCATCTATGTAATTATCTCTATTTCCTATCTAATCTGGGATGTTTAGATTGTGTCTCATGGGTTTTTGCTTTTCTTTGACTGCTACAAATAAGATTGCAGTTGACTTCTTTGTTCACATTTCTGATCACTTCCTTGAGAGGTTCTCAGAGGTAAAAGAACTAAGTTAAACAACAGGAGGAACACCTTTCTTATTTATGAAACATCCAGCCAAAATGCTTTTCAAAGTATCCGCCCCACCAGCAGTATATGACTTTGCTATTCTCTTGCTATCAGTGATTATTATTTTTTAAAAGTATCTGCTAATTGGACAAGCAAAAATTACCATCTTGTATGTGATTATCAACAAGATTTAATAATTTATATTTTCTCAGATTTTTAATGTTCTTTTATAACAATTTTCATGTTTTTCATCTATTCTTCTAAGCTGAAAAGTATGCATTGCCAGTTACCCATCAGTTTTCCTAATTTTGCCTGATACTTAAAATTCAGAAATTTAACTTTCAAAACAGCCAAAGACTATGTCACTGTGATTTTTGTCTACTGTTTTTATGCTTAAAAAGTCCTTCTACTCCCAGTTAAAATTCATCTACATTTTCTTCCAGTTTTTATGGCTTCATCATTTATATTTAATTCTTAAGTCTATCTGGAAATTAATTTATAAGTTAACATTATCTGCAGATTATACCAAATCAAAATACTGGTCCAGGCCAACAAAATTAAGGAAATGTCAATTTATTTTAAAAAGGTTTCTGAAAATAAAACTAATTATTCTTGCAAGTGTCTACTTACTTTACTAATTTACAAAAAGAAAAAAATCGATTTGTAAAAAAAAAACAAAATAAATTTGGGGAAGGAAAAATGGCAACGGGCAAAAAGATCTATTTTGGTTTAAAAATCCACGTTAATAAATATTTAAGAGTACTAACTACTATAGTTGGTCTTGATGATGGTTTTGGTCGATGATTAAGTAGTATATCAACAGCTCCCACTACTTCAGAGTCGATTGCCACCAAAAGTGCATCTGCGGACTTTAAAAAAAAAAAAGTTAAAAATGAAAATTGAATATAAAAAGGTAAACTATGAGTATTTATTTTTACTAACTCATAAATTATTCTATCTTTAAAAATTTAAACTGTATACATACATATATATATATATGTATATATACAGCAATACTGAATTTCCAGGAATTCAGACTGTACAAGTAGCACATTGCTTGCTTGCCTCAGCAGTACTTCTGTGTACCACACTACATGTTTCTGTCCTGATTCCAATGCATGAGCTGGTAAAATAATGAATGCTTGATACAAGGGATTATTAGTGGAACAGTGCTGATCCATGCAATATATAATGCTGATTTTTTTTTTTTTTCAAAATCTTTACTCTTGAATTGTGGACCAAAAAACTTAATGTTTTAAATCAACAACAAAAAAAATGCCAGAACTATTCCTACAAGGATTATATTCTAATAAAATAATCATCACTGATCCAACCAAACCAATAGAGGAGAATGGAAAAATATATAAAGGGGAGAGTATTCTGCTCTAATCTTTGAAATACACATGGCTGACTAAAATGGTACAAATTGGACATTAATATTAGCAATCTTGTCAAGTATAAGCCAGAATGAATTAGGCTACCTGTTTGCAGAGGCAGGAAGGAGAAGTAACTTTATAGTTCTACAAGGGTACTTTTAAAAGTCCATGAAAAACGGAATTGAGTCAAAAGAATTTTGAATTCCATGCATAGTTTTTACATAATACACATTTGCTACAAACTTTTTGAAGACTCAATACACATGAATTTCAAAATATCTTGCACCAAAATAAGTTTTTTATTCCATGTTTTCCATGAATCTTTTGAAGTACACTTGTATGCCAATTCA